AATCAAACCGTAGATCAAAGTATTTCTTATTTGCCACTCCGTGGAGATGGTTGTTTGTGGGGCAGGCCATTTTACAAGTTGTCAGGTCACGAAAGCGGCAGAGTACTTCCGGACACCTGAGGTCAGGTGGTCACGTAACGGACAAAAATAATAACTCGGACATCTGGGCTGACCACCCTTCTATCGCAAATTATACTCCTTTGACAATGGAAGAACTCTTGCCCCAGGAAGAACCGGAAATAGAACAGAGTGATGTGCCCATCCTGATGACGATCATCATGACGTTTCTCTTCATCGGCGCCGGCTCAGTCATGCTGACCACTCTGTCTGTCCACCTCAGTTTTTTCGATTCATTCTGGTTTATATTTATATCCATGGTCACTGTCGGCTACGGGGATGTCGTGCCGTCTGACCAACAACTCTTTGTTTTCCTGCTCGGCTACATTTTCATCGGGCTCAGTCTGATGTCCAATGTCATCAACGAGAACGGTCAGTTCTTCAACGCCAACATCTTAAAGTCCAAGTCTATCGGCCATGATGCCATAGCCATTATAACGGCGAGACGCGACATTCTGTATAAAAAGCAGAAGTCCAACTTGGCTCGGAGCCATTGGAAGCTGGTCAGAGACAGGGTCAAGAAAGGACGTATCCCCCCAGAGCTCATCGAAGAATCGCGAGTCTACAAGGCTCGCATGCTGACGGAGGAAAGAGAATTTATCCGGTGGGCCTTCAGGATCTACTTCAAGAAGATTGATGCGCCCCCTGAGCCCGTTGAGGAACGCCCGGAGGTGCCGATGCTGACAGAGATGCCGGGCGCCCAGATGGTCCGGGTGGTACCCAGCAAACCGGCAGTCGTACAGGTAGTCGAGGCACGTGCGGCTGGACCGGAAGTGGAGGTCAAGTTAACCAGGTGGATGCGATTTAAGAGATTTGTGGCCAAAGTTTACCGTAATACAAAAACGTGGGTAGGCGATAAGGGTTCTAAAATCCTAGGGATGTTCTCCAAGAAAAATGTGGAAGTTAAGGAAGTGAAAAAAGAGGAAGAGGCGGCCACAAAGCCGTTTTATTACGCTTAACTTTAATTCAGCAGAGATCTCTAGATTATAAGTTGATATATGTAACTCTGTACGTAGGATTAAGTAACGTACGTGTGATTTTGTCCTGTACACATGATTTAATATTTTATGAATTTCAATCAACCTGAAGCTAGTTGTGCATACTGAATTTTTGTGTGGACTGATGCAACAGTAAGATTTTTATAGTTGAAAAATAAATGATACCTGATGGTAAATAAAAAGAAGGATACATGTTGATAAATTAAGACTAGGATGCCCGCATATACATATAAAAGAAGGATACATGTTGATAAATTAAGACTAGGATGCCTGCATATACATATAAAAGAAGGATACATGTTGATAAATTAAGACTAGGGTGCCTGCATATACATATAAAAGAAGGATACATGTTGATAATTTAAGACTAGGATGCCTGCATATACATATAAAAGAAGGATACATGTTGATAAATTAAGACTAGGATGCCTGCATATACATATAAAAGAAGGATACATGTTGATAAATTAAGACTAGGATGCCTGCATATACATATAAAAGAAGGATACATGTTGATAAATTAAGACAAGGATGCCTGCATATACATATAAAAGAAGGATACATGTTGATAAATTAAGACTAGGATGCCTGCATATACATATAAAAGAAGGATACATGTTGATAAATTAAGACTAGGATGCCTGCATATACATATAAAAGAAGGATACATGTTGATAAATTAAAACAAGGATGCTTGTTGAAAAATTGAAAGAAGGATACCTGTTGATAAACAAAGAGAATGATGACACACTGTGGCGTAGCCAGGGTTAGTGTCGATTGGGGTGGGGGGGGGGGTGGCAGACCGCCCTCGTCCAACAAAATAAATCTTAATGACGTTGGCCTACAACCCCACTCTGTCATTTCAGTGTCACATTGTCATTTCAATGCTACATTGTCATTTCAGTGTCACATTGTTATTTCAATGCTACACTGTCATTTCAGTGTCACATTGTCATTTCAATGCTACATTGTCATTTCAATGCCACATTGTCATTTCAATGCTACACGGTCATTTCAGTGTCACATTGTCATTTCAATGCTACATTGTCATTTCAGTGTCACATTGTCATTTCAATGTTACATTGTCATTTCAATGCCATATTGTCATTTCAATGCTACATTGTCATTTCAGTGTCACATTGTCATTTCAATGCCACATTGTCATTTCAATGCCACATTGTCATTTCAATGCTACATTGTCATTTCAATGCCACATTGTCATTTCAATGCTAAATTGTCATTTCAATGCCATATTGTCATTTCAATGCCACACTGTCATTTCAGTGCCACATTGTCATTTCAGTGCCACATTGTGATTTCAGTGCACATTGTCATTTCAATGCTACATTGTCATTTCAGTCCCATATTGTCATTTCAATGCCACATTGTCATTTCAGTGCCACATTGTCATTTCAATGCCACATTGTCACTTCAATGCCACATTGTCATTTCAATGTCACATTGTCATTTCAGTGCCACATTGTCATTTCAATGCCACATTGTCATTTCAATGTCACATTGTCATTTCAGTGCCAAATTGTCATTTCAATGTCACATTGTCATTTCAGTGCCACATTGTCATTTCAATGCCACATTGTCATTTCAATGTCACATTGTCATTTCAGTGCCACATTGTCATTTCAATGCCACATTGTCATTTCAATGTAATATACAAAAAAAGTGGCTCCCTTGGCGGACCACCCCACCCGCCCCACAATGTAAATGATTCCAATCATCTAATAGGGGGATAGGATACACACTCAATTTGATTGATTGAAATCAAGTCTAGATATCTGATGTAATACAATCATACCTTCAAATCGATTGTTTCGTCTCATTGATCCTAAACTACGTCACTCAGGGGTTCAACACCTATTGTTTACATAGATGACTGATCTAAACATTGATTTCTTGAAATAGATACGAGAACTTATAGGAGCTGTGAATGAGATTTAATAGCTATGAATATATCAATAAATGGTTACAAAGAAAATAAACACGTGTTTTTGTATTTGTTGTATCACATCAGATAACTGTTGGATGTATTTTTCCTCTGGCACATCTTCAGCCAAATCGTTGGAAACTTTTCATTCACCGACTTTAGTGCAACAGCAACAAAAAAATAAAAATTGGTGAAAATTTTTAAATCTAAAATTCATCTTAAATTGGAGTTTGTTGTAAAGAACACACGTTTTTAATTCAGTGAGGTAGATTTTTGGGATTATCGTGTTACATGAACATGATCTTACAACAGATGTTGATACAACAGAACTTGATACTGTTAATATTAATAAAAAGCAAACATAAATTCCGTGGTGAAATATAAATCAATTTTTAAATACATTATTATGACATACTTTTTAGATTTTACATTGTCTTGAATTAGTCCTCAGGGTCTTAAATTAGACCTCAGTGTCTTAAATTGGTCATCGGTCTTAAATTGTTCATCAGTCTTAAATTGGTCATCAGTGTCTTAATTGATCATCAATCTTAAATTGCTCATCAGACTTAAATTGGTCATCAGAACTAAATGGGTCATCAGTGTCTTAAATTGCTCCACATTGTCCTCAATTTGTCCCCAGTCTTAAATTGGTCATCAATGTCTTACATTGGCCATCAGTCTTAAATTGTCATCAGTGTCTTAAATTGATATTCAGTGTCTTTTATTGGTCCTCATTGTCTTGAATTAAATAGAATTATAAGTTTAAATTTTAGACGACAGTACGGCAACATGGAATAGTGAGTGAGGAGTACTGAGATAAGAGTACTGAGATAGATGTACTGAGATACGTGTATTTTGCACCCTGTGTCTTTGTTGATAACATAAACATTGAATTCTTTGCAACTACACATCCACAAAATACCAACCACCCAGGCCTTCAAAACTGCACTCAAAACACATCTCTTTAAACTATACTACCCTGACTGATTCCTCTCCTCTGACCGATAAATAATCGTGTTGGCTGCTGTCAATGGTTTGCCTTGTAAAAGTCCTGGGGTTGATCCTGTTCTTTATTTCATAAATGTATTTTATTTTAATGTCATGATTATGTCTCTTTTGATAATATTTTTATGTACAGCGCGGTGAGCCCAGCCCTAGGCTGGGGTACCGCGCTATAAAAGACCACTAATTATTATGTGAGCCCAGCCCTAGGCTGGGGTACCACGCTATAAAAGACCACTAATAATTATTATTATTATGTAGATGGGGACGAGAACAGACAGTCAATTAGTCATATTTATCTGGATGTGATGACGGGAACCTAGAGAATTATGGGCCCTAATATGTCCTATCAGGACAAACAAACAACACTTAAGTCCAAATATGTCCTATCAGGAAAAACAAACAACACTTAAGTCCAAATATATCCTAACTCAACAAACAACACAAACGTCAAGTTCACATTTTAAAAAAGTTTAATTCAATAAGATACCCGCCAACTGAATGTTCCCAGGGAGCTAACACTGTTCCCGATTTATATTGTCTACAAAACTAATAATATGATATTCTTTGTTAATATGTGTACACATTCATTAGTCTTTGATGACTTTGCACACCCAGGCCCTTAGCCATGCTTCTGTGTTGACAAATGCGATGTGTTTAAGGAATAGTTCAGTTCGGTGCAGATGCTAGACGGCTTTCTAAGGCATCACCTGGTCATCCGTTCTTTAAAACGTTACCTCCAAAAATCCAGTTGGGACTGTCATACGACACGCAGGCTAACAAAATAGAAAGAAAAAAACAGCAAAAGGGGCGTGGCTAGGAACCATCGATTACCTTATGCAAAAGGGGGCGTGGCTATGAACCATCGATTACCTATGGATTAAGGACGGATGTTAAATAGATCAGAGTGAAGAGGAGTTAAGCCATTAGTCCTAGAATAAGGACCATAATTTTGTGACACTCACAGATACCGAGAGACTACAAACAGACGTAAGAAATCTTTTTTTTTTTTTCTTTTCGATGTGATTCTCCATGTTGCCTTCTTCATTTGGATTTCTGCTGCTTCTATTTGTTTGCTTAGTGTGCCTCACTTTGATATTTGTTTAGTGTGCCTCACTTTGATATTTGTTTAGTGTGCCTCACTTTGATATTTGTTTAGTGTGCCTCACTTTGATATTTGTTTAGTGTGCCTCACTTTGATATTTGTTTAGTGTGCCTCACTTTGATATTTGTTTCCAAGATTAGTTTTATCATTCCAATTCTCAAACACGCAAGTTTTCTGTACAGTGTCAAGCCGTGGAGTACAACACAATATCACATAGTGTGTGGTCTTCATGCCAAATATTATATTTAATATCATATCCGGAAATTTGATGGAAAGAAATTTCGTCGACGATAAATTAATCGACGGTAATTTGATCGAACGGAAATTTGGTCGAATCTTTTCTATCAGTTTTTACGTTAAAATTTTGCTTCGAATTTCTTTTTGAACGCACTTTCTTTTTTTCTACTATATATTACAGGGCGTTCAACAAGAAATTCGACGAAATTTTAAAGCATGAACTGAAAGAAAGCTTCGACCTAATTTCTGTTCGATCAAATTTCAGTCGATAATTTTAACCTCGACGAAAATTTTTTTCTATCAAATTTCCGGGAACCATTTGATATCATTGTTTAAAAAAATGTTATTAGAATTCACTGATTGTCATAACACATTTTGAGAAGTTACTCATTGATAAAACGTAGTTTAATAAGTCATTCATTGACAAAACGGGTTTTAAGATCTCACTCATTGATAAACGTATTTTAATAAGTTATTATTGACAAAACGGGTTTTAAGATCTCTCTCATTGATAAAACGTATCTTAATAAGTTATTTATTGACAAAACGGGCTTTAAGAACTCGTTGATTGACAAAACGTATTTAATAAGTCATCCATTGACCTTTAAATGACTTTTTGAAGAAGTTTAAATGAATGACCATACAATGAATAAACAAGTCTTTAAGGATCCTCTTTTACTTTTATAGTTTTTGAACTACTAGTACACTTCTCATTCAACTCTTCAGGTTAGTACACTTCTCATTCAATTCTTCAGGTTAGTACACTTCTCATTCAATTCTTCAGGTTAGTACACTTCTCATTCAACTCTTCAGGTTAGTACACTTCTAATTCAATTCTTCAGGTTAGTATACTTCTCATTCAATTGTACATGTTAGTACACTTCTTATTCAACTGTACATGTTAGTACACTACTCATTAAATTTTTCATTTTAATACATATTTTGTTCAATATCTTTAAATCTGATTCCCTAACATTTGAGTAAAATCTAGACGGAATGGCATTGGAGCTGATACCGTGATGGACACTCCTTGGCTCAAGTCTGCCATCGTGCAGTGTGAACCTATGTTTAAAGCTGTAGGATATGTTTGCTTTAGTTTTTAGTTTTCAACGAAAGCATACTCAAGAGGCGTAGCGAGGGGGGGACAGATGTCCCCGGGCGCAAGCTAGTTAGGGGCCCCATAATGTGCTTTGATATTATATTATTGGTAAAAATAATGTTAAAAAAATAAAAGGGGGCGCTTTAAAATGGATCTTGCCTCTAATCTTTCTATTCTTATCTCCAAAAAGTCTATTTATTTTAACTTACGCTTCTATGCTCTAGTCCACCAACTCATTGTACGATCTAGTCCACCAACTCATTGTACGATCTAGTCCACCAACTCATTGTATGCTCTAGTCCACCAACTCATCTCTACATTCACACTGCCCCCCGCTGTAGCCTCAAACCAACCCTTTCTTATCACTCTAATTTTATTCTCAACCTCTATATAAAAAAATACGACCCCACTTCTTTTCGGTGTCCTCCACTCTTCCACCATTCGCTAACCCAATGCCCCGTCCTTCATCCATAAGCTACGTTCACAGTTGTTATACCTCCATCTATTCTCTGACACAACATCTACTATAATCAAGAAGTAATTAATATATATTTTCATTGGTCATTTAATGGTATTTCATTAATTCAAAGTATTTACACGTTTTAAGCCTAACTGGGCTACCGTATCTTTCTCCTCCCAACTGTTCCCAATTTCATCCCTTATTTAACCACCTGACTCCTAAATCTTTTATCTCACCTTCAGCCCTTGTCCTCTGACCTATCACGTGACCTTCATCCCTTGACCTATGACCTACCGTGTGACCCTAAGGTAACTCCCAGAATAAAATGTTCATGTAAACCACACATTCATCCCGAATATCCATAGAATGTTATTCATGGCCCACAATTCCATAGAATATTATCCATGGCCCACAATTCCATAGAATATTATCCATGGCCCACAATTCAATAGCTTATTATCAATGGAACAAAACTCTTCTTGAGCATCAAAAAAATGTTTATGTCCTCCAAGCCCCCAAGCCCCTCCTATTTTTTGTAATCTATTTGTATATAATCTTTTTTTATTGTAATAAATTTGTATTGAAATGCACTTGTGTTGTAATCTAGTGTATTGTAATCTATTTGTATTGAAATCTAGTTGTATTGTAACCTATATGTGGTGTATATATTTGTATTGTATCTATGAAAAGCAATATAAAGGTCAACTTTAAAAGGTATCCCAGCAAAACAACAACCACAAACAAAACAAACACACTTTTTTTCAAATTATCTTTAAATTGCCCTTCGTCCTTGGTAACATTGCCCTTCGTCCTTGGTAACATTGCCCTTCGTCCTTGGTAACATTGACCTTCGTCCTTGGTAACATTGCCCTTCGTCCTTGGTAACATTGCCCTTCGTCCTTGGTAACATTGCCCTTCGTCCTTGGTAACATTGCCCTTCGTCCTTGGTAACATTGCCCTTCGTCCTTGGTAACATTGACCTTCGTCCTTGGTAACATTGCCCTTCGTCTTTGGTAACATTGCCCTTCTTCCTTGGTAACATTGCCCTTCGTCCTTGGTAACATTGCTCAAACCCATTCCAATGATTTTCTGCATGCCTTAAACCTGTCCAGACACCTGTCCAGACACCTGTCCAGACACCTGTCCAGACACCTGTCCAGACACCTGTCCAGACACCTGTCCAGACACCTGTCCAGACACCTGTCCAGACACCTGTCCAGACACCTGTCCAGACACCTGTCCAGACACCTGTCCAGACACCTGTCCAGACACCTGTCCAGACACACTTTATGTCTTCCATAAATTGTGTTGTTTGGTGTTTTTTTTTACTTTAGAGCCATTTCATAATTTACTAAAAAACGAGTCCTGTCAGCATCGATACCGGCACCTGCAGATGTATCAACAAATGTACAAATGTTGACAATGACATATGTACAAATGTTGACAATAGCATATGTACAAATGTTGACAATGACATATGTACACATGTTGACAATGACATATGTACACATATTGACAATGACATATGTACAAATGACAACTACGACACCTGTCGAGGGGCCCACGATCAATTGGTTGATCATTCTGGCTCCTGGTTTAAATTTAGAGTTTGCCTTCTCTTAGATGGGTTGCCGTCCAAGGCTAACGCGTCCCAATCCCCAACCCGGGGTGCTTGGGATGTTGGCTTTGGTGGGGATTAAACTCCAGACCATCAGCTATTTGGGTTTGAGACAGTTTAGAGCGCTCGGCCACCCAACACCTGTAAAATAGTCATCAACGAAGCCTGTTCAAATATCAAACAGGACAACTGTTCAAATGTCATCAACGAAGCCTGTTCAAATGTCAAACACGACAACTGTTCAAATGTCATCAACGAAGCCTGTTCAAATGTCAAACACGACAACTGTTCAAATGTCATCAACGAAGCCTGTACAAATGTCAACAACAACAGCTGTTCACATGTCACCAACGACACGTGTACAAATATAATACCATCTTTGAATGAACACATTAAGCGTAAACTTTGAACTGTCCTTGACAATCACATAACATTTGGATTATGCTGCGAGTGACCATCTCTCTTCAGAAGTTTTTGACGTCATCGCTTGACACTCAATTCCTGTCTTGGGTAGAGAATGAAAGCCAGACCACCCTGTCCCCTTCTCCTATGAGATTTAATGTTTTTTCCAGGCTGAAGTGTCCTATTCTCCTTTAGTACAAGTATGGAACCAAGCACTTCAGAGGAGAACTTGTAAATGTCGCTGGCTTCATTCTACACAATAGGTCCACTCTATGAAGGTGTTTGAAAATCCTTATCACTGTCGATCACGTCTTTACTCAATGCGATATAAGACTTCCAGGCTTTGTACTCTGAGAGCCACGGCAGTAGAAACGCTTACAAATTCAGAGTGCGGAACATGTCTCCTGGATGACGGTAGTCTGGTGTAAGAGCACTTGTCACAATTTTGTTCCGTTTAATTTTTTGATATCTACAAGATTTTGAAGTTGTTATTGCTCCCCATATCAAGGTGGTTCTGAATGTAAGGCCGGTTCTCTTACACTCATAAACGATCATTAATTCTCCATAGATGTTTCGCTTACAATATTGAGAGCCCTTGGATTGTCTTGATCTCCAAGCTCGGAAACAAATAAACCAAATATGTTGCATGTTACTATTTTGTTATTGTCATGTTGTATTTGTCGTCATGGCCATAAAACACAAGACACTAAGAACAGCCATAAAACCCAAGGCACTATGAACAGCCATAAAACACAAGACAATAGGAACAGCCATAAAACACAAGACACTAGGAACAGCCATAAAACACAAGACACTAGGAACAGCCATAAAACACAAGACACTAGGAGCAGCCGTAAAACACAAGACACTAGGAACAGCCATAAAACACAAGACACTAGGAGCAGCCATAAAACACAAGACACTAGGAACAGCCGTAAAACACATAACACTAGGAACAGCCATAAAACACAAGACATAAAGAAAGATAATTTTGTAATTATTTTTGTGAGTGCATAAGTTATCAATAAAAAATTTTACATTCAAAATAAAAGTCATTTCAAGATATATGAAGAGTCGATTTTCAAAACGGGGTATCAGCCATTTTGAAAAAAAATGAGCTAACTGTACATTCTTGTAGAGCAAACCAGGTTCCTTTAGGGCATGTTAAAGTTTAACTACAAAACACATTTTAATCCTATATTATTCTATGTCTAAAATTGATTTTATTTTCAAACCACGGTGTGGATTTTTTTTTGTATCATCAAAATGCTGTATATATTTTAGGACCAATCCGTGTGATTGGCGAGCTATTCTGCGGCATTCTGCGCGTGCGCACTAAACATCACGACGCGAAACAACAACAAAAACGTTGCATAGCGACGGCCTGGATGAAAGAGTTGTCTGTACTAGAAATTCTCGAAAAAGAAATTATAAAAGCTCAACACCAGAAATAGACAAATCATTTCGTCATTCCAGCGGAGGAAAGATCCCGTCGGTCACGTGTCATCACGATAACTGGTTCTGCAAGGTGAGTTACCGGTGACTTTAGTAAAAAAAACACTAAATTTCATTTTAAATTATTATTATTACTTTATTTATTTATTTATTTAGGCATTTTTATATAGCGCTTATCATAAAGCTCTAAGCGCTTTACAATTATTAAAACATGTAAACTAAATGGTTATGGTTACTACACATCAAATGTATTAAGCAACATGCACATAAAAAGTTGCTTTACAGAGTTAGCTGTGTTATTTATTACACATTCCATCTTTGACATGCAGATCCAGCCATGACAGAATAAAAGGGTGCTCAAGGAAAGAGATATTTGCCCTCTGATTTGAATATAAATAAGAAGCATCCACTTTTCCTGGAACAAAACATTGAAGATGATGCACACTCTGAATCAGACACTTCATTATTTTTCTATTTTGTCGTTGTTCTAAAGTCAAATAAAATGGTTTGTGAATTGACCATCATCTTGTTTCCTTTTGTTTAGAATTCAGATGTATAAAAAAAATCATGCAAACTTATAGCACTCTAAACATGACACTATTACAAGCGACTTTCCAGCATTTATAATACTGTTCTGTTAAAATATATCAATAAAAACCATTAATCATACACTATTATCTAATGTCTATGATACAATTTGATTTTATTTTGCTATGTAAGTGGTTTGTTATCTATCAACAATTTTAATTATTTGCTACTGGGAATAATGTTATCAAAATGGATATACAGCATTTTGTCGCTAAGTTACAGCTGGATACACAGCATTTTGAAACGAAGTAAGAAATTCAACCAAGTAAATAAATACATTTTAATGAACCTAAATTTCAATTCTCATCATAATCGAACGTATACTTTGAATGTATACCTAATTAAACGTTTACTTTTCCGACAATTTGAGCCATCACTGTGTAGCAGCAAAAGTCGCGTATCTCAAAACGCCAAAAATGGAGATACAGCATTTTGAAAATCGACTATTCAATGCACTCCATAGTATGTTAACTTGTGCATTCCATATTAAGTTTGTCTACACATTTCACATGTACTTAAATCAATTTTATAATCCAGTTAAAATTTATTGGATGCCCAGCTATTGTAGTTTTATAAGATTTAAGTCTTACAATAAATGTTATGTGTTTCAAGTTTTCAAGTCAACAAGAAAACACCTGCCAACCACAGTTGACTTTCACGATGCTTACGTCACCAAGTCATCTGGTTGTCTTAGCCTGTATCCTGGCTCATGGCTCAGCTCTTACACAGAGGCTCACCTATAAAAGCAATGAAAATATCGGTTCATTCAGCCCTGACGAGATACAAGCCATCTTGCATGCACACAATGCTTACAGGAGTGTAATCAAACCTACAGCCAAATACATGGCAGAAGTGGTAAGTAAATGCATAACGAAAGACGTCTGTGAAAATACATGACAGAAGCTGTAATCAAATGCATGTCAAAAGTGGTATGAAAAGATATTAAATGTCAGAAATTGTAAGAAAATACATTACATGTCAGAAGTGGTATGAAAATAATTACTTGTCATAAGTGGTAAAAAAATGCATTACATGGCAGAAGTGGTAAGAAAATACATAACATCGCACAAGTGGTAAGAAAATACAATGCATGGCAGAAGTATTAAGAAAATGCATTTACATGGCAGAAGTGGTAAGAAAATACATTACATGGCAGAAGGGGTAAGAAAATAAATTACTTGGCGGAAATGGTAAGAAAATACATTACATGGCAGAAGTGATATGCCCCTACTTGCTTTTTAAACTTTTATTGGCTTTGTTTTGACCTACTCATGTAAATGTTTGACCTACTCATTCAAATGTTTGACCTACTCATGTAACGGTTGGACCAACTCCGGTAATTGTTACAGCAACTCAAGTAATTGTTAGCTCTTTTCTCGTTTCTGTGTAACCTATTTATGTGACATCCATATTGAACTTAATATGTGCCGCATGTTACCCTGAGATTCTGTTCAATATATGATGTATGTTAACCTGATCTTATGTTTAGCTTTGAGCAGCTCTTGTCCTCATGACAAAAAACAAAGTTTAAGCTCGCATGACAATCTTCTGATATAGATGTCAATCATTTTGGTCGAGCAGCTTTAACTTTAACAAAAGATGGATACAAGTTGTTCAATCAATTCTTTCACAATGCATTGCGCGCCGTCTCTTCATTCTTGTCATACAGCCATTCATAGATGCATTTTACTCATTGATCTAAGCTGTTGCATTCAATACTTGGCACATGTTGCATTCAAGTCGTCTGTTCGTCATAGAAATAAGAAATATAGTTTTCGCGTAAAAATTAAAAAAAAGTGGGTGCATTTAAAATTAAATTACAACATTTTAAATAGGCTCTTAATTTTCTTGATTGTCGAAAGAAAATTGTAATAAAATTGTCTGATAATCATTCAATTTGAAAGTTAGTTGATTTTAATAAAATTTAATAGTTAATTTAGACCGAAGTATCAATTTAAATTTAATACCACATTTTATTTACTTTATTTGTCGAAAGAATCTATTTATATTTGATACAAAACCTTAATTCATTCATTTTGTCCGAAAATTTCAATGTAATTTGGACCCCTGGCAACAAACACACTCATAACGTAGACTCACATTAGTTTTCTTGGTTCAATAATAAAATAAAAGTTGTATCATTATAACTACGTGTAGACCTTCATGTTGATACAAAACTTTTGGACATATATTATGTCGTCCTTTATATTGATAAAAAAAACCGATGGTTCTTTTATATAGTGGCTAAGTGGACTTTTAAGGACTACATAATATTATATAGACATATATTTTGATACAAAACTATTGGAAATATATGTAGACCTATATAATGATACAAAGCTATTGGACATGTATATATACCTATATATTGATACAAAAACTATTGGACATATATGTAGACAAGGGGTCTCAAAACTATTTTCACGGTGGGCTGGATAACGGAAAAATGAGAAGCGCGGGCCTTATAATCATTCCGTACAATACTTGCAAGCCAGAACGAAAGCTCTGGGGGGAAAAGGGGGGAAAACTAAGTTAAGTATTCCATGTTAATCCCGTGTGAGTGGCGTGCAATTTACAAAAAAACAAAGAAAACCAAACTAAATTTATTTTCTAAAAATGTTATCAAAGAAGGGGACGTTAGCAAAGAGATAGTTACATCAGACCTAGTGCGCACATATTCGAATATCGCATATAAGCAGCAAAAAAAGTCAGTGAGATTTATGAAACTGACATTTGGCTTTCAAGATTTCTTCAATATTTGGTTTCGAATTGCTGCATCCAATCAAAAGAATTGTATTCAAATGTTTATCAGTCACTCTAGTTCAATGTGTTAACTTTACATGCTTCATTTTTGAAAATGTTTGCCCACAGACATAAGTTGTTCGAAACACTGACGCCATACCAGTGGTCGAAGTTCTTCAGTTTCAGATACTCAACATCAGGTTAGCAGCGGTGAAATCCAACAAGTTTTCCTTCTCTGTGCTGTGGGTAAACATACGTTTGATCATGTAAATTCATATACCGTCGGTGGGCCGGATGATCTGGCCCGCGGGCCGTAGTTTGGAGACCCCTGATTTGGACATGTATGTAGACCTACATATTGATACAAAATCTTTTGGACATGTATGTAGACCTAGATATTGATACAAAATCTTTTGGACATGTATGTAGACCTACATATTGATACACAATCTATTGGACATGTGTGAAGACATATATATATATATATATATATATATATATATATTGATACAAAAACTATTGAACATATAATGTAGATCTACATATTGATACAAAATCTATTGGACATATCTCCATAATTACCCCATGATAGTCTAGTCCAGGCCTGCACAACGTACGGCCCGCCAGTACCCATTTTGCGGCCCGCGAAGTAACGAAATATTCTTTATTCTTCATATTTTCTTGATAGCTTTCCCCCGTCCTATTGTCTATTGTCTTTTGGCCCGCACAAGTTTTTCCTAATGTATTACGGCCCGCCTTACATTGTGAGTTGTGCAGGCCTGGTCTAGACCGTTCACTTACTTCGTGCTACAACCGCACCATCAAATGATCTCACCCACAATATTACGTGAGGAATCTGAAATCGCATCTCCCCCCTCCCACCACACACACACACACATCTCCCGGTTTCTTCTCACCTGTGAACTAAGATACTCCATTCATCCCCCGTGGTCTTACCACATTCCAACGGATACAGTGTGCTAAGCACAATGAAAGTTATGTATAACACGTTTAAAACAGATAATCATCAGATAATCACCAGATAATCATCGGATCTTTATAATTTATAACTACTGCTCAATTGAATGTGGACTACCATTCGAATATGATTGATTCAATATTTGTCACTGACTGCTATTTACTCCCAGTACTTAAGATTATGTAAAGATAACTTTTATTCCCATGTCCTTGAGATGCTGAACATTTCTTATTGATTTATTTATCAACTGTGAAGTCATGTGACTCGACTCAATTTGTTCAAATCATCCCCTAATGTTAATTTTGATCTACTTTATATGATTTATAGTCTTTATGTGATTTATATTCTTTCAATGATTTATACTCTATGTATTCTTATATTATTTATATTCATGAAATTATTAAGTATGGAGTCAAGAACGCTCGAATAACCTTAACATTGTTATTATAAAAAAATAAAAAAATATTCGCTGTTCAAATAATAAAATTAAACTTCGCTAACAAAGATCAGACTGCTACCATTGAGAAATCTTGCTTGATGTAAACTAGATTTGAATATCTCCTTGATGACGTCATAGCCCTTCACCCTCCCCCCCCCCCATCCCATGACCTGCACCATGAAAGGTTCACCTCCAATATTTTGAAGGACATTTGTAAAACATGTTTTGAACATGCAGTTTTTTTTTTTTTTTTTTTTTAATCCCATGACATGCACCATGAAAGGTTCACCTCCAATATTTTGAAGGACATTTGTAAAACATGTTTGAAACATGCAGTTTTTTTTTTTGTTTTTTTTTAAATTCTTTCATCTACCAAAGAAATGAAACGATTGTCAACATTCTATGCAACCACACAACTCTCTTAGTGCTAAACACTTGGTCACGTCAGAACTCAACGCAGTAACATGGGCCCCGCAGAAAACTTTCTAGGGGGGGGGGGCAAATTTTATTTAGTAATGTTTTAATGTAGTTTAAATTTGCTATAGCGTATTTGTATGGTGAACGAATGGACAGGACATCAGCTTAGTTACTTTCTCTTTATTTTCTCTTTACTTTAATACATTTTTTGTCTATTTTTGTCTAAAAAAAATTTCTACAATCAATCCAGGGGAGGGGGGGCAAGAGCCCCCCTTGCCCCCCCCCTGCGGGCGCCCATGCGCAGTAACAATATGTACAACTACCAGCCTAATAGTGTATCAACTGAAAGATAGTGTACTGCAAATTAATTAGAGAACAAAAGGTGAACTATCGGTTTACCAATTGAGCATTAATATCGTATTATCTTAGGCAAAATACCGTACCATAAAACCGTACCACCATACCGTACCATAAAACCGTACCGCCATACCGTACCATAATACCGTACCAACCCAGATGGTTATTGAATCAACATTGGAGTATAGGCCCTGCATATAATGTATATTTTTGTAGCATTGTTTGACTTAATTCTAGTTGTCTTACTTCAAAATAAATAAGCGATGACCGATAAATGGTGCGCTCAGTCAAAACGTGAACTGCTTGTGCTTCAGTGCGCCTGCCCTCGGCTCCCACACTTAATCCACTTCTCAACACTTCGAATGTCTTCACAATGGCTGCCCCGAACCGAGGTTCAACATGTTTGTTTTGTCCGCACAACAATAGCTGCCCCGAGCCGTGGTGAAACGTTTCTTAAAGCAGACCATCAAAGGGCACTCAAGCTTATCAAAGAATACGTTCAATGCACTTCACATAGAAAGCTCGTGACAGCAGATTCTTTACAAGACATAATTCAACAGCGGTTCAAAGCAGTTATGTCACAAAATAGTTGATTTCTGAGCAAACATCTTAACTTGATACTTAGGTCTACTGGACATTTTCGAGGCCAATCACCTGGTCTAGAGCCGTTCACCTGTCAGAGATGGCTTTAAGGGCATCGATTAGGCTTGAAAGGACTTGAGTAGACAACAGGCTGACACGACCTGGGGACAGCCATCAAGATTGACAGTTCAGATAGAAGTGGATTCTTTAATCTTGCATGCGATGATTATGTGAAACTATTATGACTGGTTCACTGTGGGCAAGTTATCTCCCCGGTTTGGTGACTGATTGACTGTGGGCAAGTTATCTCCCCGGTTTGGTGACTGGTTGAATGTGGACAAGTTATCTCCCCGGTTTGGTGATTGGTTTATTGTGGACAAGTTATCTCCACGGTTTGGTGACTGGTTAATTGTGGACAAGTTATCTGCCCGGCTTGGTGACTGGTTTATTGTGGACAAGTTATCTCCCCGGTTTGGTGACTGGTTTATTGTGGACAAGTTATCTGCCCGGCTTGGTGACTGGTTTATTGTCGACAAGTTATCTGCCCGGCTTGGTGACTGGTTTATTGTGGACAAGTTATCTCCCCGGTTTGGTGATTGGTTTATTGTCGACAAGTTATCTGCCTGACTTGGTGACTGGTTTATTTTGGACAAGTTATCTCCCCGGTTTGGTGACTGGTTTATTGTGGACAATTTATCTCCCCGGTTTGGTGACTGGTTTATTGTGGCCAAGTTATCTCCCCGGTTTGATGACTGGCTTATTGTGGCCAAGTTATCTCCCCGGTTTGGTGAATTGCCTCTAGGGTCCTAGGATAAGGGGCAAAGACAGAACAAAACTATAATTAAATCACAGCACCATTTCAGGGTATTTAAAATAGACTTCCTTCATTGAATGTTTGCTTGTCACATGCTCTCGTATAGACTTCCTTCATTGAATGTTTGCTTTTCACATGCTCTCGTGTTTGTTATTCCCATAATTAATTGCATGTTAGATATTCACAGACCATAAGGATTATTCATTCCAATAGTTGCAGGGGTTTGATAAGTGAGACTCTTTGTTCGCCCTGCTTTTTATTCCAACAGCTTCCTTCAATGTAAACATGTCTTACTTAAATCCTGTAAACCACGTGCGCATTTAGAGAGAACAAAATATAGCGCAAACATATCCATACACAGCCCACATAGCCACCCTCACCACACACTTCCAACATAGCTGCCCCCACACCACACATTCTAAGACCAATAACTCCCTCCCCATAAATTCCACCGAACTACAACCACACCTCATCTCTCAAACTAACCACCCCTCCACAAATAGCCACCAATAGCCAACAATAGCCACCACTAGCAACAAAAAGCCACCAATAGCAACCAATAGCCACCAATAGCCACCAATAGACATTAATAGCCACAATTAGCCACCAATAGACACCAAAAATCCCCCACCACACACTCCCCCTACCTCACACCTCACACTCCCCACCAGACTACTCATCCATCACTCACTCCCCCCCCAACTACTCCCCCACCATCCACTCCCCCACAACCTCACACCACACACTCCCCACCAAACTACTCTCCTAACACACATTCCACACCCAACTACTCCCCCACCACACTTTCCACACCCAACTACTCCCCTACCACACTCTCCCCACCCAACTAATTCCCCCACCACACCCTCCCCACCCAATTACTCCCCCACCACACACTCCCCACCCAACGATCCCTACACCACACAATCCCCACCCAACAGCACCCCCTAGATTGGTTGGTCACATGAGCAGTGGCGTAGCTAAGGTAGCTGTCACCCGGTGCGGTAAACTCATGGTGTCAACCCACTCTCCAATCCCCCCCCCCCCCAAACCGATTTCCACGATGAATTTCTGCATGTTAAAAGAAGTCAACAGTAGAACAATGCCAAGAACAAAAAAAAAAAAGCTTGTTAAATTCAGGGAGTCAGATGTGGTTAAGAACTTCAAGAACGTTAACTTGCGAGGGAACGAATCCTAAAAGCTTGACTTTGTTAAAAAAAATGTTACTGGTAAAAATTACTGTACTGACGTCTGCAAATCAGTCATTTAATTCATTGAGGTCAGTCATTTAGTCATTGAGCTCATTCAGTCATTGAGGTCAGTCAGTCAGTGAGGTCAGTCAGTCAGTGAGGTCAGTCAGTCAGTGAGGTAAATCAGTCAGTGAGGTCAGTCAGTCAGTGAGATCAGTCAGTCAGTGAGGTCAGTGACATCAGTCAGTCAGTGAGGTCAATCAGTAAGTCAGCCAGTCAGCCAGTCAGTCAGTGAGGTCAGTCAGTCAGTGAGGTCAGTCAGTCAGTGAGTCAGTCAGTCAGTTAGGTCGGTCAGTCAGTCAGTCAGTCAGTGAGTCAGTCAGGCCTGTTACTGTTTATAAAACATCAATACTTTTCGGACAATTTCTATTAAACTTAACGATCGAATAAAGGAGAGGCGAAAATATGGCAGAGTTGAAACTAGACAGAGGCGAAATTATTGGCAGAGGCGAAATTAGGACAGAGACAAAACTGGGGCAGATGCGAAACTAGTGCAGAGGCGAAAATAGAGCAGAAGGGAACCTAGGGCAGAATTGAAACTAGGGCAGATGTGAAAGTAGATTAAAGGCGAAACTAGGGCAGATGCGAAACTAGATATGAGGCGAAAATAGGTCAGATGCAAAACTAGGGCAGATTCGAAACTAGCGCAGAGGCGTTAATAGAGCAGAGGTGAAACTAGGGCAGATGCGAAACTAGGGCAGATGCGAAACTAGGGCAGATGCGAAACTGGGGCAGAGGTGACATATGAAGCTAATTTTTGTAAAAGTTGAAGCAGTTAAAAATAAAATTTAACGATTATTTCGTTTCTATGGTGTATTCCTTTGATCAATTCTTTCAATCATGTTTTCCTTTGATCAAGTCTTTCAAGCATGTATTCCTTTGATCAATTCTTTCAATCATGTATACCTTTGATCAATTCTTTCAATCATGTATTCTTTAGTCAGTTTTTTTTTCAATCGTGTTTTTCTATGATCAATCCTTTCAATCATTTTTTCCTGTGATCCATTCTTTCAATCATATTTTTCTTTTGATGAATTCTTTCCATAATGTTTTCCTTTGATCCAATCTTTGAACCGTGTATTCCTTTGACCAATTTTTTCAATCGTTTTTTTCTTTGATCAATTCTTTCAATCGTGTATTCCTTTGATCAATTCTTTCAATCATGTTTTCCTTTGCCCAATTCTTTCAATCATGTTTTCCTGTGATCAATTCTTTCATTCATGTTTTCCTTTAATCAAATCTTTCAATCATATTTTTACTGTGATCAGTTCATTCAATCATATATTCCATTGCACCATTTTAAAAGCTGAAAAAAAAAAAATCTCCACTTCCAATAAGAACAGTCATCAAACAATCACCATCCTGCCATTGTAGATTAGTCATTGAATCGAAACACACCCGAACACATCTGAACACGCTCGAACACATCCGACTTTCATGTCCATTCATAAGTTCTGTATAATAACGGTGAAGTTTCAAAGGTGACCAACATTTTTTGGTTTGTTAACCAGGTGCAGCATGAAGACATTTCACATCTGAAATGTCTTGGTTTTGTCCACAGGTATGGGATGAAGACATAGCTGCATACGCCCAAGATTGGGCGAACAACTGCACAGGCACCCACCGGGCAATCGTTCCGTTTCAAAATTATTCCGGAATGTGGGAAGCTATCTACACGTTCTTCGGTTTGTTTCTTAGTTATAAACTGTAACAAAAGTGGTGGAATAGACTTATTTTACAAACAGTAACAAAAGTGGTGGAATAGATATATTTATAAACGGTAACAAAAGTGGTTCGATAGACTTAATTATAAACTGTAACAAAAGTGGTTCTAGAGACTTATTTATAAAACTGTAACAAAAGTGTTTCAATAGACTTATTTATAAACTGTAACAAAAGTGGTTCAATAAACTTATTTATGAACTGTAAAAAAAGTGGTTCATAGACTTATTTATAAACTGTAACATTAGTGGTTCAAAGACGTATTTATAAACCGGAAAAAAGTGGTTCAATAGTCTTATTTAAAATCTGTAACAAAAGTGGTTGAATATACTCATTTATACATTGTAACAAAAGTGGCTGAAAAGACTTATTTATAAACTGTAACAAAGATGGTACAATAGTATTATTTATAAACTGTAACAAAAGTGATTGAATAGACTTATTTATAAGCTTTAATAAAAGTGGTTCAATAGACTTATTTGTAAACTGTAATAAAAGTGGTTGAATAGACTTATTTATAAACGGTAACAAAAGTAGTTCAATAGAATTATTTGTAAACTGTAACAAAGGTGGTTGAATAGACTTATTTATTTGTAAACTGTAATAAAAGTGGTTCAATAGACTTATTTATAAACTGTAACACAATTAGTTTAAAAGACTGATTTACAGACTGTTGAAAACGGGTTGAAAAGCTCTAGCTGTCACATTAACATGACTCAACTGAACTAAAAATAGACACGTTTATAGACGCTACTTTTCTCGATCTTCAGGTGATGCTTACCAAGAAGTTGTTGCTGTCGAGGGGTTTTTCAACGAATCTTATGATTACAACTATGACACTAACACGTGCGCAACAGGCAAAGTTTGTGGCCATTACTACACAGTGAGTACATGGACATTACTAAATGATAAGTGGATGGGCATTACTACATGCTAAGTAGATGGGTATTATTAAATGATAAGTGGATGGGCATTACGACATGCTAAGCAGATGGGCATTACTAAATGATAAGTAGATGGACATTACTAAATGATAAGTAGATGGGCATTAATAAATGATAAGTAGATGGACATTACTAAATGATAAGTAGAAGGGCATTACTAAATGATAAGTAGATTGCCATTACTAAATAATAAGCAGATGGGAAATACTAAATGATAAGTAGATGGGCATAACTAAATGATAAGTAGATAGGCGTTACTAAATGATAAGTAGATGGGCATTACTAAATGATAAGTAGATGGGCATTACTAAATGATAAGTAGATGGGCATTACTAAATGATAAGTACATAGACATTACTTAATGATAAGTAGATTGGCATTACTAAATGAAAAGATAAGTAGATGGGCAATACTAAATGATAAGTAGATGGGCATTACTAAATGATAAGTAGATGTACATCACTAAATGATAAGTAGATGGGCATCACTAAATGATAAGTAGATTGACATCACTAAATGATAAGTAGATGGGAATCACTAAATGATAAGTAGATGGGCATTACTAAATGATAAGTAGATGGGCATTACTAAATGATATGTAGATGTAGTGCAGTCTTAAGGCGTGGGCCCACTGGGCACTTGCACAGGGCCTTACGCCTCTAGGAGGCCTCACACCTCTATGGGGCCTTTTGCTTCTAGTAGACTCAATCTGTTTGAGACATCATGTTTTACATGTTGTTAATGAATATTGACATATTTTGGAAATTTAACTTGATTTAAAAGTCAGTGGACAGCACGTTTCCCAATTTTAACCAACGATATTATGGGCACATTCCAAAAGTAATCTTATAAATGCGAAGAATAAGTCTGAACCTCCCTTCTTAAAGGGGAACAACTCTCATCAAGAAGTTTTACTCTCCCAGATATGAATCGAAAAAAAAGGTACGAATTTGTGTTTACAATCATATTAGACAAAGATGTTAGTCCTGGGAAGTAATAACCCTTGCTACGCCACGTCTCGGTACTCAATAGTGTGATCATATTTCAACCCTTTTCAATGGGTGCAGACAACCCAAGACAGAGACAGGTGGAGAGCAGCTATCAAGAAGGGAGCTAAATCTCATGATGCCAGTAGGTTAACTACAGCTGAGATACACAGCCTGGTACGAAAGAGCAACATTAGATCACCGTCTGCAACAACTATTCCCTGCCCGCGGTGCTAGAGATTATTCCGAGCACGGATTGTTCTAGCAAGCCCCTTACGAGCTAACCGTAACCCACCCCCACGATTGTCCAAGTCGATTTTGACGGACGAAGAACAATAGTGATATTAGTGGAGAGAAGTAGCGCCCTCTTTAGGCATGGGCACACTGCGCACTTTCCCAGGGTCTCGTGCCTCTAGGAGGCCTCACGCCTCCATGGGTAACCACGCCTCAGGGAACCTTACGGCTCTAGGGCGCCTCGCGCCTCTAGGGGCATTATACTGCCAAATTATTAGTGAATTTTAAAATATTTTAGATAATTTTGTTTTTCAATTTCAAAATGTAAGTGGCAAGACGTACCTCCAGTTTATTAAATCAATGTTTTCGATTAAAACATCATTTCAATATTTTTGTTACTAGCTTTAGAAAAAATTTCTTTTGATAAAATATCAATTTGAAAAAATCCATTTAAGTAGTTTAATTACAGCTGATTTGTTTAACTGCAGCCGGTTTGTTTAAATTACAGCTGTTTTTTACAGCTGGTTTCTTTATTTCAGCTGGCTTGTTTAATTAAAGATTGTTTGTTTAATAACAGCTTGTTTGTTACATTACAGCTGGTTTATTTAATTCAGCTGGCTTGTTTAATTAAAGCTGGTTTGTTTAACTACAGCTGGTTTGTTTAACTACAGCTGGTTTGCTTAATTTATTTATTTATTTATTTATTTAGGCATTTTTATATAGCGCTTATCATAAAGCTCTAAGCGCTATACAATTATTAAAACATGTAAACTAAGTAAATACAATGAGACACTAGGATAGTAACTACTATTCTATAGAAACAATGAAAATGGCTATAAAACGAGGACACTTTGACACTTCAGGATCAACCCGAAACAGAAAATGAGGTAGGGCAAGGAGGGTGCATGTGTCCAGTATCCGCCTGGATTTGTCTACTCTTTTAAGGGACTTTTTGAAAATGGACGAGGTTTCACTATGACGTATATGGAAGGGGAGCTGGTTCCAGAACGTGGGCCCATGGAAGCAGAAGGAGCTTTCACCGATGGTCTTAGTTTTAGTTCTTGGGATTGAGAGGGTTCTACTGTCAATGGAAGAACGTAGTTGTCTTGTGGGGATGTAAGGAAGCAACAGTTCAGAGAGATAGACAGGAAAGTGAGGGTCAGTGAACGAGTTGAAGCAAAGATTGGTAGACTTGTATTTGATGCGAGAGGATATTGGAAGCCAGTGGAGTTGCTTACAGCTGGTTTATTTAATTCAGCTGGCTTGTTTAATTAAAGCTGGTTTGTTTAATTACAGCTGGTTTGTTTAATTACATCTTGTTTGTTTAATCACAGATCATTTGGAGTCAACTTACCAGGATTGGTTGTGGTATCAAGCGATGCTGGAGTTTTACATCTAAACCCAACTCTACCAAAACCTACTACATGGTATGCAACTACAACATTGTGTAAGTATTATTGGTGAGCTCTCTCTCTTTACATCTAAACCCAACTCTACCAAAACCTACTACATGGTATGCAACTACAACATTGTGTAAGTATTATTGGTGAGCTCTCTCTCTTTACATATAAACCCAACTCTACCAAAACCTACTACATGGTATGCAACTACAACATTGTGTAAGTATTATTGGTGAGCTCTCTCTCTTAACATCTAAACCCAACTCTACCATAACCTACTACATGGTATGCAACTACAACATTGTGTAAGTATTATTGGTGAGCTCTCTCTCTTTACATCTAAACCCAACTCTACCATAACCTACTACATGGTATGCAACTACAACATTGTGTAAGTATTATTGGTGAGCTCTCTCTTTGCGCGTGAGCGCTTTTTGGGAGTGAATGCTTTTTTGGGTGTGAGTGATTTCTTTGTAGCCACACTGGAAAGATAGATCTGAATGTCTTATCATCAAGGGCGTAGCTCGTGTACTTGCGGTCAAAGGTGAGGCAAATTTTTTGCCGCTACCATTCAACAAAAACATCTCGGCATTTGGTCAAAATGTTGCCCCTAAATACAAAGTAAAAAAGTGAAGACCGGGGTCGACTGCCCCTCTTCCTACGCCCCTGCCTATCTGTTGAAGGTCCTAGGATATAGGGAAATTTACGATAATTTACTAATATATCGCCCCCCCCCCTTTCCAATCCCCGCCCAAGGTTACAAACTGGAGTCGCTAACACTTAGACCCCACTCCTTCGGAACATTTTGCTATAGTGGCACCGGCCTATACAGGTTGGCGGCACCCAAATCAGGTTGGCGACTCTCTATACCAGTTGGCGGCACACAATTCAGGTTGGCGGCTGCCTATACAGGTTGACTGCTCTCTATACAGGTTGGCGGCACCCAATTCAGGTTGGCGGCTCTCTATACCAGTTGGCGGCACACAATTCAGGTTGGCGGCTGTCTATACAGGTTGGCGGCTCTCTATACAGGTTGGCGGCACCCAATTCAGGTTGGCGGCTCTCTATACACGTTGGCGGCTCTCTATACAGGTTGGCGGCTCTCTATACACGTTGGCGACTCTCTATACCGGTTAGCGGCACCCAATTCAGGTTGGCAGCTCTCTATACACGTTGGCGGCTCTCTATACCGATTAGCGGCACCCAATTCAAGTTGGCAGCTCTCTATACACGTTGGCGGCTCTCTATACCGATTAGCGGCACCCAATTCAAGTTGGCAGCTCTCTATACACGTTGGCGGCTCTCTATACCGATTAGCGGCACCCAATTCAAGTTGGCAGCTC